CAGACTTGTCGAGGCAACCATGCTCTGTTTGATTATCCTCCTCTGTCCTCGGGACCGTCACACTGGGATAGAATCTGTAGTCTGAATCAGTTTGTTCATCACCGTGTTCGGCGGAGCTGGACTTCACTTCGTCTCCATCGCTCTCCAGCAGATCAGCGTCCAGATCTGAACAGAGATAGTTCAAATTGACGGTAAAAGTGAGCTATTTTGCGCACACACGTTAAATATACCTAAATAATGACTATATGCATTTTAGTGGGCCTGTTTACGCCTATCTATTTTATTCCAATCTTATTTCGCCATATTTGGACTCATCGCATTGCATTCCATTGCCGACGGTTGGTGCACTTTATCTTACCGTTTTAACGGGTTACTTTGTCTAAACACATTGCACTCCCACTCGGAAACGTTTGGTAAACGAGAAACACTTTTGCCTACAACGCAACCGCGTAGTAACAGTTTCTCGCCTTAATTCGCTCAGTTAGCAACCGGTGCGACCGGTTGATCATTCCTACAGCAGTCCTATAGCCTTTAACTTTTCCTAAATACATTGCACTTTCCACATGGAAACCTTTACAAATCAACCATAACTTGCCTGCGTCGACTGCTACGCAACCGCGGATTCATTTCGCGTTCGATTTGCACTCGATTTTTCGAACTCTCGAAGTCCATTCAGGTTAGATTCGGAATTGTCGCAAATTGCTTTCTGCTTACTTTTCAATTATCGCGCGCCTCTAAGTTATATATATTAGGCTATTATAACAATTTATCAACAATTTCCTGTTTCTTGTTTGTTATTATACTTTTATTTTCTCTCCGGCGTCCCCGTAATGCCTAACCCGAATAACCCCTACTAGGCGACCTCATACAGACGTACCGGCTCGTGAGGAATCGAGAGTGTGTCCTGAAGTTTGATGACTTCTTCGCATTCGCCACTTCGACCAACCTCCGTGGGAATTCCCTCAAACTGCGGCGGAGCCCTACCCCATCTAGAGGTCCGCAAGCAGTCGTTCTCACAACGAGTCATCGGTGCCTGGAACGGACTGCCCGAGGAAGTCGTAATGGCGAACTCCACAAATGCATTCAAACGAAAACTGGATGGACATTTACTTAACATTTACCGTTCATATGCACAAGGAAGCAGTAGTAATCTACGCATTGGCCAAACCTATAGATAAAACTTGTACATATGTATATGTTACTCACTATTTTATAGTAACATATTTTATGTTGGATATTTCATGTATACTGTTTTCAATACACTGTTTATAGTGACATATTTTATGCATATATATATGTTACTCACTGTTTATAGTGACATATTTTATGTTGGATATTTCATGTTTATAGTGACATATTTTATGTTGGATATTTCATGCATACTGTTTTCAATAGGGCCCTTCAAAGGCATTTCCTACTATCCTAAATATACTGAGCTATTCTGAACTACTGCCTGCGCTACAGAATCTACTGTTGCCAAATTGACGTTCAGGAACGCCCTACACAAGAGGCAGTATTAATAATTAAATATTTTGATGTCTTACGACCATTATCGTCCACGGCCCCTGCGGAAGCAGCCTCCGGGCTCGCAAGGTCATTTTCCGGCACCGTGGTCAGACCCGAGCCAATACTTGAGAAGGAAGAATAGTGCCTGTCTAAATCAAAGCGGAAGCCTGCAACGCATCCAATCAGGGGGGAAGTTGAACCGCGCACACGATGCCTGGAGTCCTGAAGTGGAAATACGCAGGGGTAAAAAGGCTATACAA